TATCGGCAATAATAGGCGAAAGAGTAGAGAAACATTAAAACTTTGGTAGTAAATACATTTCGTGTTTATTTACATTTTTTTTTTTAAATTGAGACGTTCCAAGTGCCTGTGGGTCGCCTAGCCTCCAGGCTACGCATCCGCACATCCACTCACACAGTGATCGCGCGACTCGCGTACACGCATGATTGCGCAACGGGACGCTCTGCTGATTGCCGAAAAAATACAATATATGCACTGCTGCCGTCTATCCTTTCATCCGTCCTCTCTCGCTCTCTCTCTCTTTCACACACACACGCGCGCGTACACACACACACACCTCTAGCTTTCTCTCTCTCTCTCTCTCTCACACTCACGCATACACACACACACACACACACACTTACACATTTCCAGGCTCTTTCTCTCTCTCTCTATCTCACACGCATACACACACATACACATTCCCTCTCTCTCTCTCTCTCTCTCTCTCTCTCTCTCTCACACACACACACACACACACACACACTCGGCAATCAGCAGAGCGTCCCATTGCGCAATCATGTGTGTGCGTGTCGCAAGATCACTGTATGAGATGGATGTCCGGACGTGTAGCCCAGTGGCTCCTCGTCCGGAACCGGTCGCGTAGCCACAGCCATCTATTCACTACCAAAGTCTTAATGTTTCTCTAGCTACTCTCTTTCACCTATTATTGCCATCAATTTCCTGTAAATGCCATCCAAATGCTCATCTGCAACACACGCTGGCTACCACACGCTAGCTGCTGCACACTGACACATAAACATAAAAATATAAATAAATAAAAATAAACATAAAAATAACTATATTTATGTGACAGTGGCCTGTGGGCGGCAGATAGTGTACGTGTCACTGTGTGGCGCCGCAGCCAGCGTGTGTTGCAGATGAGCATTTAGACGGCATTTACAGGAAATTGTCGGCAATAATACCTAATTAGGCTAATACTATTACTATTAGTATTAGTAATAGATGAAAGAGAGTAGAGCACTCGCAGCTAGGGCCTGCATACCTCCCAACTCTCATTGGTTGATACAAATCACGTGCCTGAAACTCCTGTTTTAATAATTCCTTTTATGGTGCATTGTGACCCTAACCCTAACCCTAATCCTAACCCTAACCCTAATCCTAACCCTAACAGTAACACTACTTAGAATTTAATTTTAAAAATTAACTATATTTGTATCAACCAATGAGAGTTGGGAGGTATGCAGGCCCTAGCTGCGAGTGAGTAGAGCAACATTAAAGGGACAGTAGTAGCCTCTAGGATTTTTACTGCATACAACTGTACTTATGGTAATAATACTAATACTAATAGTAATAGTAATATATCATTTAATGATTTATATGCGCATGCGCTTGCGCCGTTGGGGTGCGAAGGCTTGCTCATAATATTCTTAATAATATTAACGCAGTGGCTGGAGGTACGCCAGCCGTCGGTCGTTCAAGCCCCTTTGTTGTGGCGGTTAGGTGGGGTTGAGGGTTAGGTTAGGTATTAGGTTAGAGGTTAGGTTGGGTTTATTATGGTTAGGGTTATGGTTTAGGGTTAGGGTTAGGGGTTGTGGGGGTGTGGTCGATGCTAAAGTGCGTGGTCGGGAAAGTTCATTGGGTGAAGGTTTGAGTTTCGCGCAAGGGTGTTGGAATTTCCAATCTGGCTCGGCCGACCGGCCTCGGGATCTGTGGGTGTCTCAGTTAAGGTTATGAAAGCAATTTGGGGTGGACTGGGCGTACCGGTGTGGGATGGCGCTCGATGTGAGCAGTGAAGGAGTAGGCGTGTGGGGGTGGGTACGCTGCGTGTGCACGTGTTGGCGTGGGGAGGGTATTTAAAGTGGGAGGGAGTGTCGTGTGCAACGGGGGGTGGGTGGGGTGGGTAGGGGCGCTCTGGGCCGGATTGATGGTTGGTGTTATGAGATAGTCATCTCGGTTGTGTTGGTGTTGGATATCTGAACGGTGTAGTGGAGGCGCGGGGTCGATTGGGTGTTGGAGTGTGTTTTCTCGCCAATATACATAGCACATCAACATAGTCTATTTCAATATGGGGCAAGCAGCGCAACGTGTAGAGCGCGTTGCGCCAAGTATGAATGTCGCGGCGATCGAATCCCATCCGTTTTCTAATTATTTTCCTGTTTCTGTATTTTTCTATCTTTATCTGTTTAACATTTTTTTTCCAATTAACGCAAATATTTACATTATTTATTTACAACATTTTAATAACAACAATTAATTTTACAACAATTAAAAATTAAATTTTATTAATTTAATAGAGTTACCTAGTTAGGGTGGTTAGGGTTAGGGTTAGGGTTAGGGTTAGGGTAGGTTAGGTTAGGGTTATCGTATATATCTGTATAAAATCGTATATATTAATATCGTACCAAAAGCAACGGTAGTTATTATTCGCCGATAGATGGCGCTGGCATCACTACCGTAACTTTAGGAGAAAAAAATCGGCGACGTACCGCCGTTGCAGGAAGCAACAGCCAATTATTAAACGTTATTATGATATAGTTACAGTACTCAGTAGGCTCATACAAGTGACAATTCGTAATATCAACTGTTAAATAATTGTACGTGTATACATACAGTATTTGACTACAGCAATGTTAATCGGTGCAGTGCACGTAACGATTTTCATGATATATTGCCGAAGAACAACAGCACAAACTCATACAAAACCATAAACCATAAAAAACTGCCTCGCCCTCTATAATTAAAAGTTCGATGACCATCTACCAGGAAAAATGTCTGCCCCCACGAAAGTTTATCTTTTTTGTGTCAATTCAATGCATTATTGCCGATTACGTAAACTACAACGTAAAAACAAAATATTTTTTAAAGGCATCGATAGAGTATGTGTCATTTAATTAAAAAGGTTTCATTACTAACATTAGATTATCTTATAAATTATTGCAAATGTGGAGCAACTCGTTCATTCAATAATTCATTATTAATTGAACAGTTAGCCCTTACTTAGGCTAAGTTAGGGGCCTACTAGTACTACTACTAGTACTACTATTAGTAGTACTACTAATAGTAGTACTACTAGTAGTACTACTATTACTATAGCCCGACCAGGCTGTGCGACGGATTGTCTATACGGTATTGTAACCCTAACAATACCGTTTCTTGGAGATACTAGTACTATTACCTACTACTACTACTACTAGTGCTGATACTCTATGTCCCCCACGGTACTGCCGGAACGTACCCCGGGTACGGTCCGGTATACCGGATCATACCTTGGTAACTATCTAATATGCCCGACCGTACCTAGCTCTAGTACTATAGCCCGCTTACAAGTTACATTGACTGCCGCTGGCCAGCGGCAGTCAATGTAAGCGGGCTATAGTACTAGAGCTAGACCGTACCTTGACTTTCAGCCGATGTTGTAATACATAGGTACCGCTTGTCGGCAGGAAACGCGCCGCTTTATGATCCCGTTCCTTCCGATCCTTGTGTCCTTCCTCCCCTTTCCGCAAAATATTCGTAACCTTTACCCTGTTACGTTTCACCTCCGGACCTCAGTGTCAGCGAGTCTATACGTTTCCAACCCATTAAGATAATCATACAAATTTTGCCGTTCCACCACAACAGTGTAAACACTTGGAGCCATCTTTCAAAAATCTCGCGCGAAAATGTCGTAAACATTGCGAAAGGAATACGCATTTCCGATCATCGCGATATTTGCAAAAGGATTGCGCGCATCAGTGTATATAGGTTGAAATTTCTTCTTGGTTTCACAGTTTCATACTCCAATCTAACTTTATAAAGATATCATACAGCAGGGGTCGAAATTTTATTTTTATTATGGTATCCATTCGGGATACCAGGTATTGATCTGGTATCCCATTTTTTGGATAGTAATTTCAACCTTCAAAATTCTCATCGCTTGCGTTCATTTTTATATACGCCTTCACAGTACACTGCAGACATATTGTCTAGACGCATTGTCTGGTTTGCTTGATACAATGTATACACATCACATTTATGATCAACATCGGCGACGCTTACGCTTGCGCTTGTAAATATGCTATGCATGCTGTATAATGCTAGTGAGTAGTGTGGCATAGTAAGGGTGCCTGAGCCGGCTCAGATCGCGCACTCTCGCTCAGATGCGCTGCTGTATAAAGTTGATAACTCAACAACCACTATCCCGATTTTGACGATTTTATTTTACTATCCCGGCGAGATACCAAGCATTGAAATCTAGTATCCAACACAAGAATCTACTATCCTGCGGATATCGGTATACCACTAATTTTGACCCCTGTACAGGTCTGTATGTATATTTCAAATTTTGCGACATCAGTAGTGGGCGGAACAGGGACAGTCAGGGTACGGTAGGGAGTTCTTTCTGCTGACATGCGAAGAGTAAGTGTTGGATAAGCTTTTGACCCTCAAGAGGAGGGTTAAACATGGATTTTTTGACTGTTAACAAAGAACTGAACTGCTTTTGCTATTAGAGCTTCCTCCACCTGCCCCCCCCCCTCTCTCCCCTCACCCTTCTTCACCACCACCACTACGCTCGTGCTTGATGCATATCCATGATAACATGTTAATATAGCAAAGTCATTAAAGTTACACAGCTGTATCTTTATTACTGTACTACCAGTAGGTATAGCAAAGCCTATCATAGATTTTAGATCTGTATTAGTAGTATCCTAGATATAAATTATGCTCTGAGCGCGAACGCGGTGGCAGGAGGGCGCACTTGATTCGGTTGCCAGTGAGTTTATCAGAAAAATACCTGGCTACAGTACACGTCAGTTGAGCGCTGTCGCTCTGCGGCACTTGTTCAATTAGGCCATATTCTATGAAATATATAGCTGGCAATAGTGCCCTACCCTCTTCCTCCCGGGGTTTCTAATCCACATTTCCTACTAGCACAATTTCAATGGTAAATCATATCATAACGGATCTTCAACAAGTCCTTATTATCACTTTTTTCAGGGGAGTGCCACATACTTTTGTATGTATTCTAATAACAACCTAACTGTGTATATAAGTAAAACAATATTAAATATTCTACTTGTTTATTTCATCACTCCGCAATGACTTCACTGCAATGAAGATAGAGTAATGCTCATGTTGTATTATTGGCAGGAGTATACTTTACAAAGGACTAATTGTCTTTGCAGCATTCACATCTCTCCAGAACAGATGACATCAGCCAGCTAAATAATGAGCAGCCTATTATATCAAATTCTGAGACATATCATCCTTCAAATGCCTCTCAGATTGGACACGTGTTTTCCCCGGTAAATATTTTTTGTGTTTTAGATCCTTAAGATTTGCACCTATTCGTGATAAGATGTTAGAAAATATAAGAAAGTGTTTATCTTAATCTATACATTATGTGGTACATCAGATTCTGTACTATATAGGCTAAATGGGCATGCACTGAAATGGCTGGTTCAGGTTAGAATTGAATATCAAATATCAAATCGTTTAAAGGTCACACTTGTTTTTCGGGTCACATTTGTAGTGTCCACTTCGTTTTTACCTATACAGTCAAACCTGTGTTAGCATATTGGGGGATATATAAAATGGAGGCATATATAAAATGGGGACCTGTTTATAATCGACACTTCTGGAGTTTCTCTTGAATGATCCTTGTACACAGCTTTGAGTTGATTGCTATGGGCCATCTTGTGCAGCAGCAAATGTGTAACTGTACTTATACCTGCAGTATGCATTGTTATATAGTCTTTGTCCTGGTTAACCTTACCAAGGAATTGTTAATCCTACCTTTGTCCTCTTAACAAATGTAGCAGCAGCACGTCCAGAGGTATTTCATCAATGCATATATATGTAATATTGTGTGATGATAGACCGACGTACTGGGTAATGATCATTGAATGATCCTTGTATACAGGTTTGATTATATGGTGCTGTGGATTCTGTGAACAGTGGTTATGAGTTTACTTGCCTTGTTTCTCTGTCCCATAGTGTCCTCATGATGTCACATGTCCTAGAAGCATTGATGGAACAAATACACCATGCAACTTTGAGGTTCCATATCAGCCTTTATCGTTATTCAAGGTTTGGAATTCTAATGGTTTAATTATGCTATTACTATTAGCTTATAATTCAGTTGGTGTGTTAGGCAAGTTATTCAGTGATTCAAGGTGAGTTTTAAATAAATGTTATTATAGTATGAAGCCCACAGGTTATGGTAATAACTATAATATGGTGAATGTTATTTAGGTATAACTCTGAGACCTACCAGTTTATATAATGTATATCATTAGTTAGATCAGCTAACTTTCCAATAGTTTTTAGCTCATCTGACGATGTCAGATGCAGCTTGTAGAATTGCATGAGCGTCCGTCCGTGATCCATGTGTCCATCAACAGTTGGGCACAAATCTTAACAGCTTGACATACGGTCACGATAATCGGGACGTCCGGGGGGGGGGGGTCGTGAAAAGGACTCGGGGATATGACCAATTTGGGGGTCAAGGGTCAAAGGTCAAGATGTGTCAACGGAGGGGGATATTTCCCCTTAACTTAAGGTATAGGAGGAAATAAAGAATTGCGGCACAAATCTGAACGGCTCGACCTATGCTCTTAATATTCAGTGTATAGTGTAATAGGCAGGAAACCCATCACCAGTGCGAAATTGGAGGTCAGCAGGTCAAGGGCAGTGGGGGAAGGTCAGATATCAGACATTTTCTGAGGACATGGCCTAATGGACAGAGTAAAAAACTTTTTTTGTTTCAGCGCTGACCTACCATTTTTATCACTTTATTGAAAGGACCATGAAATGTGCTTTCCACTGACGTGCGAAGAGTGTCTGATAAACTTTTGATCCTCAAGAGGAGGGTTAAACATGGATTTGTTGACTGTTAACAAAGGACTGAACTGTGTTTGATGGTACTTGTGTGATCGTGGAAGACTTAAATTTCACAGTGAAATTCTGGGCTCAGGGATAGAGAAGATGTCCAGTCCTATCTTATCAACTAACATCATCCTATCCAATCACCGTACTGGACATCATCTCTATCCTTGAACCAAATTGGGCATGCAAAACTTACTTGAACAACGTTTACGCGCCTTAAATCATATATGAACTTCATTCTCTATATGAGATTCTGTACGTTGGGAATACAATGTCAATAGCACTTATGCAAACTTCTGTTTTTGATTAAAGGAACAGTAGCCTCTAGGTTCTAGGGTTATTTTCAGCTAATTTAGGTTATAATTGCACTACATAAAAGTTTCGATGGTTCAAACACCATTAGAAATATTTTTTTTAATGTTTAAACTAACGACTACAGTTTGATTACAACGACGGTGGCGGCCACTCAAAGGCGCACGATCTGAGAAGTTGCGCAAACCCACTTTCCAGCCAAGGGCTACAGACCGAGGGTATTTCTTATTTATTCATTTAAAAGCAAAAGGATTGTAATATCTTATAAACGACATATAGTTTCAGTTATAATATGGATAAATTTGCCCTAAAATGAATATCGTTCGGTTATATAGCATTTAGGTATAAATATAATTGCACTTTTGTGATTAGCCCTCGGTCATTTACCTGCAAAATAAAAATGCAAATACGCAACTTTTTCAGGGTGGCAGCACGGTCGCGGGTGTCATGGCGCCGTTCAAATTTCGTAGCGTTGATGTGTAAATAATTAATTAAGTATCTGGTGACAAATACATGTGGGTATAGAGTACCGAAGTGATGACGTCACGGTGGCATGACAACGAGCCCACTGGTTCTACACAATCATATGCCTCTGTAACATTAACTGCGTGTCGTGTTTTGTACCCGATTGTAACCAGCATTCTGAGAGTCATTATTGCAGTTTTTATAGATTTCCGAAGGATAGAAGTGGAAAGCAACGAAAAAAAAAAAAAAAAATTAACAACAAATTTTTTTTTTAAATTCATTAAATATTGTAAGATCGACTTGCTACCGATGCTTTACCGCTGTCTGCAGCGCACACACTCGTGTTTTACGTACGCACAACATTTTCACGCAGTAAATGTTATGGAGCCAGTGGCTTGTGTAGAACCAGCCCGTACGTTGTCTTGCCAACGTGACGTCACACTTCGGTACTCTATAGACGATTTGTTATACAGTAAGTACAGTTGTATGCAGTAAAATCCTAGAGGCTACTGTCCCTTTAAGGCCAACTATAAATAGACCTACCATCTATCGGAACTTTATTACACTAGTTTGAAGTGTTGTTTTTTTGGGTTAGAAATAAACGTATGTATAGGACGTCTTGCTATGCACAAATTAATTTATCAGCAGAACACCAGATGAGCCCTGTCGCTCTGCGGCACTTGTTAACTCTACACGACCGCGAGCCGAGAGCGAGCGACCCCTATCGGAATGCATACACAACTCTGGTCACGTACATAATCACGTATACACAAAGCACGCCGGCCAATCTACAGTACACGTTCTACACAATCTACGGCCACACGTTCGAACTGCGCTGGCGACGATGTGTCTGGAAAATCGGCAGATAACGGATAAGCCCTCGGCTCAGAGCGAAGCTAGCTGCCGTGCACGCCGTATAAGGAATAATGGGCGGGGCTTACGGTCTCACTAAAATGCAGATTTACGAGGAAATTCAAGGGCGCAGCGTGCTAAATAGCAGGTGATTTTTGTTAAGAAGCCACTAGCTATCGATTAAGACAGTTCGCGAGTAGATTGATGCGGCAGAACGTTAGATCAGCGATTCGCACATCGAAAACGTTAGATGTACTTGTGTGATGAGAGGTGCGGAGGGCGATGCCTGTTTAAGCGTGGCACTGCGTGCCAATCATCGGGCTGCGCCCTGGTTTCGACGCCCATCATGTCTAGTCAGTATGCATGCCATCTATCGGAACAGAGTGAGAAGAATGTCCCGGCAGGATAGGTCAAATGTATATTGCGCTCAAAAGTGCAGAAAGAATTACTTTCTTAACATCAGTTTAACCAATCTTGAGATAAGTAATTGCAGAAATAAATCGTAAAACCTACCAATGACAATTTGCCAGTTTTATAATTGTCCTTGGCATGGCTCTCTCCGTCGATGTTACAGTAGTGTGCAATGTTGGGATATGGTGGAGCATGCTGGCTTGTGGACGCTGCAGAGCCCGATGGTTGACTGTCAGTCAAAATGTGTTGATCCTCCCTGACATTGAAGAAATCTGTACGTTATACGTGGGTCTGCCTTACCTCTGCCCGCCATCTTAGTCGAAAGTTTGGACGCCGCGCGGCGAAATCGGAATGTACATTTCAATCGATGACGTAACTGATACAGTAGTGCGCCGCGTGGGTGTTATTTGTTTATAAACAATTTAGTCTGACTGACTCTCTCCCTCTCTCTCCTCTCGCCCGCTCTTTCTCTCTCTCGCCCCCCTCTCTCTCTTCCTCTCTCTCGCTCTCTCTCTGCAATAAAAAAATTGTTTGCTGAAATGATGTGTACGCAACTGCGTATCTGCATATCTGCGCTTAACAAAGGTGTCACTACGCATGACTGAAATGTTACGTTTATAACCTTAGCAACAGACCTCAGATGAGCCCAGTCGCTCTGCGGCTCTTGTTATAAAATCATTTTACCTCATATTATCAGGAGTGAATAATAATAGATATTATTATCTATAATATGTATTATTATATATATTATTATTCACTCCTGATATTATCCAGCAAAACAGCAATTATGACTAAAATAATAAAAGGCCTATTCTAACATACTAAATGAAAATCTTGAAATTATTCATTACTGTTACTTTTTCTACTGCTTATTACTAAATTATTACATTTTACAGAGAGATGCCGAGATTGGTCGAGACATGGTGAGGTTTAGCTATGTGGTTCTTACCAAGGGAGCGCGTGTCCAAGAAACATGGCCACGTATCGTCCGACCATCTATCGTCAGACACCGACATGTCCACTGTAACCTGTGCACTGCAAGCGGCCAACTGCGGAGAGTTACGATAACCGCAGGGAAGCACAAGTAAGTTGCTTTATACAGTCAAACATGTATTATCGGACGTCTTTGTAGAGCAAACAATAGCCTATAAAGGACATGCCCTTCTAGCATGACTCTTGAGTGGCAGTTATACATTGAAACCACATCTATAAAATGTATATCTGTCTGTGAAGGACCATTTTTGGGGTTTCCTTAACTGTTCTTCATATACAGGTTTGCCTGTATAGTAAGCGGTTATTATAAAATCTATATCTCAATAGAAATTAATGACAACCGTTATGGTAATATTTATGGAAGTAATCAAGCCATTCCTTGTACGCAGTGGCTATGCGTCCGGTAATCCATTACACAGCTCAGCACAGATTCCCAAATCCAAATCACAATTAGGCCACGCCCCCTTTCAAATCGTTGATTTTACTGGATTTACTATTGCTTCAAAAGTTACAAAAACACATTTTTTTGTTAAAATACCTAAAGATAAGTAATATTATGGTATAAATTGTATATTGTTTTTTACTGAAAAAAATATAGTTGGGTTCACATAAGAAATATATAAGAAATATATGCGTAGCCTGGGAGCTGGGCGTCCAGTAACCGAACGCGTAGCGACGGCCTTCCTTGTAACACAAACTCTCACAGAAAGGTGTTCTTACATTATCATTGTCCAATTGTTTTGATAATTTATGTGAGGTTCAATGTTAACGAGCATGACTTTTTATTTGATTCTCAGGCATTTGTACCGATGTGCAAAGAAAAGCGATTGGGGTGACAGTCTACCTGTAAAGTTAGCAATTGCACATGATGGCAACCATACTACAGTCGATGATATTAACAATACCAAGACAGACAGACCTGCAGCAGCTGATCTTGCCAATGACACAGGTAGAGGTGGTGAGCAAAGTTGAAGGTCAAGTAAACTATAACCACGTGGAGCAGCACTTGCATGAAAAGGATGCCGTGTTTAATGATGATTGCTATTGCACAATCTATACTATTGCAATTGTGTAACCGGTTCAACGCTGTGACTGAAATAAATGAACACGAGTATAGGTCGAGCATTTTGACATCAAAAAGATTCAGTGTATCACGGTGACCTCTTCGCAGACATCATGGAAGTGGTGATGGCTCATTCAAGTGTCAAAAATCTTTTAGTTTAGTGTATATGTGAGTATCGAAACAATGATACCATTGATCTTTTTTTAAATATAATTACAAGTAGAATTAATTATAATGGCTGTTACCATCATTTCGAGTTCATCTGACTTGGTTTATTGGACTGTCTGGTATATCTGTGCTACAACAATACGATCAGCAATCTAAATAGTTTTACAGTTATACTTGCATTCGCAATGCAAGGTGGTTGGTGTAATCCAAAAAAGTCCTCGGCCGGTAGCCCAACTAGGCTCTACGACTGTTTCATGACTGTTTTCCACATGGTGAGAAGCGAGAAGGTAACTTGTGGCTAACCGGCAGGTAACATATATATTGGCATTGAAATTAAATTGCAGGTCAGGTTAAAAACATACTGGTACACAACATAGTCTAACTCCATCAGACACGAATGTGTACAGACACATCAACCCGGATGTACCAACCATCATGGGCCTACCAACATGCGAACATATGATGTTAGCCATGCTGAATTATAAGATCACCACGCAACAGGACACGGTGTCTACACACAACCGTATGGCTACCCCAATGGCCAACGACTCTGTAAGCACTGTGAACTGATCTCAGAGTAATGGATTTGCCCACCACCTCAAATTCCATCGTGGCATCAGTAGTACACCAACGACAGTGAGTCCTACAGGCAGTATGTGTGTTGCTTTAGAAAGCACTGGACTCCCTGGACTTTCCAGGGAATCTTCAACAAGTGCCTCAGAGCGACAGCGCTCACCTGACGGCAGGTGTTCTGATGCTAATCTCACTGGCAAACGAATGAAGAGCACCCTCCCATCACCGCGTTCGCGCTCAGAGCATATATCTAGGATACTACTAATACAGATCTAAAATCTATGATAGCTAGGCTTTGCTATACCGGTAGTACAGTAATAAAGATACAGCTGTGTAACTTTAATGACTTCGCTATATTAACATGTTATCATGGATATGCGTCGCGCGTGAGCGCGTGAGCGCGAGCGTAGTGGTGGTGGTGGGGGCTCTAATAACAAAAGCAGTTGCCGCGAGATGGCGCGTGCAAGTGTCATCAATAACCAAAGATGGCGTCACCCTTCGTGCGTGATAACCTCACTCCATTGAGTTGCTGAAATCAGGAGTATATTCAGGCAGGCGAGAATTTCGCTCAGCTGTGAGTTAACACATCTGTATTGCAGGTTGCCAGGCAATAATTATGATTAGAATAGTACCAGTTCACCCCCATGCATGCGTAATGGGCTGCCCCCATGTTTTTGCTTACCCACGGGAGCATTCAGGGTTCATTACAGTATGCTAATACAGGGTGCTAATACACTGCTTTAGAAAATAATATGATTTAAGGAGCGTAAACCTTGTTTAACAAACTTTTGCCTTTGCAATTGAACTGTGCAACTGTAGCCTCACATCCACAATAGCAAAAGCAGTTCAGTCCTTTGTTAACAGTCAACAAATCCATGTTTAACCCTCCTCTTGAGGGTCAAAAGGTTATACGACACTTACTCTTCGCATGTCAGCAGAAAGTACATTTCATGGTCCTTTCAATAAAGCCATAAAAATGCTAGGTCACCGCTGAAACAAAAAAGTTTTCCAATCACTCCGTCAGACCATGTCCTCAGAAAATGTCTAAAATCTGCCCTGTGCCCCATTGACCTTTGACCTGTGACCTCCAATTTCGGCACAGCGATGGCTTTTCCTACCATGATGCTATACACCGACTATCACAAGCCTAGGTCATGCCGTTTAGATTTGTGCCGCAATTCTGCATTTCCTCCCTATACCTTAAGTTAAGGAGTGAATGTTCCCCCTTCTTTTACACCTCTTGACCTTTGACCTTTGACCCCCAGCTTCGACATCCCAAGTCGTTTTCGTCGTTTCATGATAAAAACTGCGTAACTGCAGTGTTACTATCACATAATTGGCCCAATCTTCAACTACGCCATAAAGAGAACCGACTCGACCTTCTCAACAAAATTCTTTCTGGAAGTGTCGCGATCCCCAAAATCAAAAGGTCAAATCATGTGAGGCACCTCCATAAACAATGTCTGCCAACATTTGAACATAGTTAACAGAAATTCAATACAATTGTCTTTCGCATGCAGCTCCCGTTGAAGAGCTTGTATCCCAGGAACTCACACTACTCTAACACAGGCAGAGATGTTAACAGTCAAAAGTAAATGCAAAAAATACTTTCACAAGAGATAGTGTATTGCAAATGATAAGTTGTCCATTTATTTTTTAAATAAAAAATAATATTCAAAGTGGCAAAAACAATGAAAATTTACCATCACTTTTTCATGGTCAAAATGTGCCTATATTAGCATCTCTTACCAGTTTAAAGGCATAATAGGCCGATCGATTATACAAAGTTGAGGAATGCTACAGTAACTGGCACCTTCTGTAGTTAATAAGTACATTACCTTATAGTCAAACGCGTATTTCAATTGCAGTTGAGAATGGTGATAATTGAAAATGCTACGATAGAATCCTAACCTTAACTAGCCCGACCAGGCTGTGCGACGGATTGTCTATACATTGTCATTCTAACCCTAGCAATACCGTTTCTTGGAGCTAAACCTTAACCTGAGTATATGACAATGCTGTACAACATGATATAAGCCTTTAGTGTGACATAGGGCAAACCAGAATATAAGGGGCAAAATTGGTGCTTCCGGTATGCATGCGATCACAGGTTGATACAGAAGAGCAGAGCCACTGAAAACATTGAATCAATGCTGAATACCTTCCAATGTGTGCTACAATACACTATCAATGTGTTTACAACTTATGTGATATGCACTCCTTACTACCGTTCTATTTTCATTCATATCTACGTGGGAACCACAACGATTCTGTACCACAGAGTAGTGTGTGTGACATAGGACAACCCCTGCAAGTTCCATCTGAGACCAAACCGGACTACCAGGGACAAAATTAGTGCTTCTGGAATGCATGTGATAGGTGTACAGTTATACTGAGAGAATAGTATAACTCCTGGATATTTTCTATTGCATGCTACAATACAATACATCAACACGTGTGCAACTTCTGTTCTATGGGCTCCTTGCTAAAGTTTTCGTTTCAAGATTATCGAGATGGTGCAAACCATAATACCCTAATTGTGTAATACTTGAGTGTGGCAATAAATTATTAATACAGAATTACGAAGGTTTTTTTTACACATAACAACATCCAGCATATTGTAGTCATTCCGATACACATCCACACATTCATGATTGTCAGAACTAAAATGGTTATAAATACTTAAAAGCACGATTACTATAGCTTTTGCAGATCATCCTGTTCAGAGTACAGTGAATTTGCACCGTGCAGAGGTGATCCAGTCCATAACTTCACACATGACAGATACTCGCTACTTGCCCCCGACTCAAAACTGTATTCTGACAATTATATCACTGACAAAATACATCCTAGACATTTGCACTACCAGTGGCATGATGGCATCACACTCTCACATCTAATACAATAACAACATGCCTTGCAAAGGCCTATGATAGATAAAACAATTATCTGATCATATAAAAGGAACCCTGTGTCACATTCATACAGTAGTTGATGCGCGGAGAGACACGACATCTAAAATGACTTCTGGGACAATTTCTGTGCAGTACCGATAACATTTTTGGTTGTTCGATAAGCTTTGATAAACAGTGGAAAAATCACAGCACATCCCTTATGCACAAGTGCTGCATCAATCATCGTTTTAAGATGTCCTGGCTAGGAAATCTTTAAGTGATATGATGCACACACTACTGCTATCATGATCGGCCCATGATCTTTTCTCTATACTCCTCCATCACGTGCTCCATGTCGCTCATGTTAGAGTTGGCATCCAACACCTAGCAACAAACATTCGAGGAATTTTTCTACACCATCAGTCACCAACTGCCTCTATAAATATGACCGGATAACATTGAAACAGATTCCTCCCAATTTAGAATGAACATCACTCTGGCATTAAATCAACAATTCCAGTTATTGCCATACTTATGTTATCCGGGACTGCCATAGCAGGAATAACACATCCGCAAACGTATAGAATTTTTCTTGCATTTCCAATTTCTGATGTGCCTAGCTGTGTAGCACACATAATCATAGCACAGCATGATGCGTAATACGAGACTGTCTCTACATACCAGGACGGGAGCTGGTGGCTTCACAGTCACTTGTCGAACCAACCAGTTCTCGTGCAGCTCATGTAAGCCGTTCAGATATGCCTATTAGCAAATGGTAAAATGTATAAACAGCCATATCTACATGTATAGTGTATATGTATATAGGGCCAAACATAAGCACACACATGACTCACACTCGTATGTAGAGTTGAAATATACATTCTCGCATTACCCATTATTACTAAATAACAAATTTTCGAATTCAAATGTCATTCGTTCCTAATATTGGGTTGGTAGAATTTAGTGCAAACTGCCTAACTGCCATAGGTGATATATAGGTTTACACAGAGTTAAAACGATAAATGTACACGTGTGCACTCACCAATGGAACTTTATTCTCTTCTTTTCTATCTCGTTCATACATTCTTGCAAGACACACCTCTGGGCGTGTTCTCAGATACACTGTAACAGGTTACCAGGCATGAGACAGACAAATGCTGAAAAGGGAGGAAGGGGGGGGGGTAAAGGGGGGGAGGAAGGGGTAGTAACTTCTATGCGGGTCTGTCTTCATGCCCCACAGAAATTTTTTGAAAATTATAAGCTCTGAGATGCAATCTAGAGCCATTTCAGGGTACTCCAATAGCTTACAACTAGCAACACTTTTTGGTGAAAAAGGAAATGAAAGTGTCAATGACACTGTAGCTCACCACAAAAAAGGACAAAAATGAGAAGTCAGTTTTAATTGAGCAACCATCGACGTACATTATAGAAACGATTGCCATCTGTATATCGCAATAATAATTTATAAACCAAAATAAATCACAATTTGTGATTGGAGATGGCGCTATACCCGCTTTGTAGCGATGGCGTTTGAAATAAATAGGTTATGCTGCGTTCCGACATGTTTTGTAAAACTTTACTCTAATATAGACGTTTTATCGGCAGGGTGGAGAGGAAATACCAATTTTGCATTAAAGATATAGTCAATGAAATCTTGTAAAACGAACCAGACGAATGTGACACCACAGACTGTTTGTGTCTATATAATATGCTATATAATTCCCAAACCCTACCTAATTTGCATAATTTTGTTTTTAAATATTAAAACCCCTAGCCCTTATTCATTCACATACCAAAAATGAATAAAATCCGTTGAACCTGAACTGACTAATGGCAATTCCCATTTTTGCCAAAAAATTGCCGTGGCTCGAAAGTACGTCGACTAGCGTGCTTCAAAATAGGACGTTTAATATGGGAGCATAGCAGTAACAACTGTACCCAATTTCAAATATGTGGGTCAAACGGTTCCTGAGTTATCGTTGACCGTAGCGAAATGTTGACGGACGGACGGACGGACGGACGGACGGACGGACGTACGACCGACGACAACCCATGGCAATAGCTCAGCTTGACGATGTCAAGGTGAGCTAAAAATGATGTAAAATTTCCAAGTGTGTCCAAAGTAAATGTATTTTGTAGACATACAAGCTCTTACGTAGGAAGCTTTTATTTAGCTACACCCAGTATAAAATGTATATAGTTTTTCCAAACGTTAAAAACAATATGACACGGTTAAACCTGAGTGGTGCGACGAGGCTGTACTGCTGTTTGCATGACTAGTATTTACACATAACTTTAGCAATCATACCTGATTTAGTTCACACCATATTTCCTGGAATATCATATTATTAGTCACATCATTACTTGAGCATTTGCAATCCATCGAGTAAGCTCATTACAAAAATATATACATATGATGCTGAAGTTAAAAACTTCTCTTTTCATTAAAATATCTATAGTATAATATAAATATAGATATAATATACATACTATAGCAGTGTATAGTATAGATATGTTCATGTTTTACACATTACATAAATTACTTATTGTATGTATGAGCTACAATGAATGAACTGATCATGACATAGTATTTCTCACCAATGAGATCAACATGCACATCTGTGTTTGCGACTAGCCATTGGTACCACTCATCTAGGACGATGTATTCTGGGGTGGGCATCTTGCCACTGAAAACAAACCAGTATCCCATGTACACATTACATTTTGAACTAGCTTAGATGATATGTAGTACATTTCTTCTAGGCATATTAATTATAATGGAGACGAGCCACCGGCTTTACAGCGTCTGGTAAATGCTTGACTCAGATGTCAACAAATAAAATTACTTGTCTCTATCATTTGAAGCTGCCAACCTACGAAAGTAGATTCATGCTACATCATGCACTTATCCGGTTGTATCAATCAGTGATAAATTTGGAGTAGTCTGTACTACAAAAACCTCAATTTTTATATAACACAAACAAACCTGTGTATAACCTTAACTCAAGGAAAATACCTAGTTTCCTTTATAGACTGGTGTCTCTTCAAGAGAAAAGCTGCTATTACAGGTTTGACTCTCTCTATATATATATATCAGGAGTAGATAATAGGGAATTCCCTATTATCTACTCCTGATATATATATATATATATACTTTATACACTGCCTGTATTATACATCATCAAAGTAGAACCATTCAAAGAAATAGCATCCATGTAAGGCCAAGTAAACCTACAAATGAACCATAACTCTATAATGTTAAACACCTGGACCCGGTTCCACAGTCGTGGATTAACTTTAACCCTGAGTTAAGACTAACTCTGAGTTAAACTCACTAACTCTGAGTTAGTAAACTCCGATCTAAATTTGGGTTTCATAAACATGGATTAAATCCTGAGTTAAGTAACTCAGACTTAAATGTTTTACTTCAGCGTTAGTATCCCATAATTCCACGTAGTTAGAACAGATGAACACGATAGACGCATGATAGACGCATGATAGACGCATGATAGACGCATGATAGACGCACGAACATGGTAGAAGTACGGATGCCTGGATCGGAAGTGCGTTGGTACGCCATCAATGGCCGACCAATGTACACCAAACGTAAACAAACACCTATGTTCCAGCGGCAGCGGGGGATCGGACACGGGGCAGTACTAGATAAACTAATTAGCTCTAGTACTAGTACCCTAGAGCTAAACTAACCTCGTAGAAACTAGTCTAAAGGATTATACCGAAGACTATCTATAAATAAATCGAATCATAGATCGAATGTAACTTGATTTTTAACCCTGAGTTAAGAGTTTAATCTAGGTTCATACCAGAGTTAAATTTTAACTCAGAGTTAGGCATATTTAACTCAGAGTTAAAGTTAATCCACGACTGTGGACTGGAATATAACTCTGAGTTAACTTTTAACTCAGAGTTAAGGAATTTAACTCAGAGTTAATAAGAGTTAATCCACGACTGTGGAACCGGGTCCAGAATGCTAATAGATACTGCCACTACCATCATGATGACAATGGAAAAATAACTGGTTCATATCTTCTTAAAAACTTATTTATCATAATACGGATAAAAAAACACATTTACTTATCCAGGTGCTCACATGCACATGCTACAGGTATTTATGCTATATTTATGCTAACATAGACATCTGCAAACATGCACACCTATGCCCGCATGCACACAAACGTGCGCAGGAAATTTACATGGACGTAATATCACATGCAAACATTATGTATACACACACGTGCTCACACACTCGCATGCCTGCACACAGAAGCAAACATAAACATATGCACAATACCTGTGGTAAAGATTCTCAACAAAGCAGTGTCTCGCACTGAATATGGATCTCTCCATTATGGTTATCGGCCTCTCATGAGGTTTGGTATGCATTTGCAACATTGTTAGCTGGACGTAGGTTTGAAGACTCAAAGCCCATCGCGTCGGATCCTTGTATAGTAGCGCCTACGACGATAACAAAACACTCTAAAGCCTAGCGCAGACCTGTGACTTTTTCATGCAACTCAACAGCGATTCTAGAATCGCTGTAAAAATTGCTGTGAAATCGCTACGTCTGCGGGAACGTACAACTGCAACCCATAGCGATTCTGGTCACTTGCGACGAGTTGCAAGAAATCAAACTTGTTTGATTTTAAGCAACTCGTCGCTCCCAATCGCTCCTAAATTGCTATAGAATTGCTTCGAAATTGCATGTGTGCGCACACGCGGTGACACATCGTTCGATCGCTTGCGGTTGCAGGTTGCAGCAACGAGTAACCAAAAATTGCAAGTCTGCGCTAGGCTTTAACCATGCACCGCTACTTTTCTATTTAGGAGATACACATACATGTATATATCTATTTTATTAAGGAGAAACATATAGGTTTGCATACTTTAATCTAGGGCTACATTACTTACCATCGCCTAACCTATCTCAGCCTCAACTTCAAGACGCGACTAATTAAAACTGATTAGGGCTTCAGAATGTTGTAACCGTCCTTAAGTTTAAAATTAAGGGGTCAGTCCCCCATAGAACTTTGTAAATTTCTAGATGCCAAAAAACATGCATTATAGTATACTCAGATGCACTATTTTCACATTACCAATTTGTAAAATATACACATAATAAAACTAGCATCTAGTACAGATTTACTTTAAACACCGATGAATTTATCACAAAACCTTTTGAAATTATGCAAACCAATATTAAAAAGTGGACTAGTAACTCCCCTGGTGCCTAGAACATACACATGGAAAGTTTAGAATTTTTTTACCCAAATCATCCCTTACCAAAACTGTATCAGCACTACAAATATTTATTACCAGCATGTTATGTCCATGTAGATTCCGCCATTTCTCAACTGGTTCAGTGCGTACCTAGAAAGCATAAAGCAAATTGAGTTATAATGTACAATAACCAAAGTATCATAGATAATATCAACAGCTAATAATAAATTATTACATGTATTATTAGCTCTTAATAATACAACAATGCCATCTCAATCTTTAATATTTTCCCATCCAACATCATGCGAGAGACATTGCAAGACAGTCAATTAGTGAAAGACACTGGCTACAGTTTAAACTAATGGTAGGTGTGCCAATGAAGGCTAACTGTGCTGACGAAAAACTGATAACTATAATCGAAAAAAAAATCACTGCATATATAACCAATCAATACAAACCTCGACATCTGGACTGAGGTTGAAGTAGTCTAGGAATGTAGATTTACCGCTAGCAATGTTCCCCTCGACAGAGACCTAGAACACACAACTGAGGTTTGAACAGTGGCACGATACACAACTACCCACATGATATCACACGAGTAGATACAAAAAAATGAATTCAAGCAAATGAACAACAATGATCGTATGCATGCCATTACCTACAATATACTCGGGAGCATGATAATAACCTTAATTATATTTATAATAAGATGTTAATATTTTGCTTCTGATATAAAGTTAGCATGATAAGCCTAGAACCATAGACCTTTTATCCTGCAAAACTAAGCATGTTCTATGTGAGACAACCAACTACCCCTTACACCTAAAAGATGTGACTCACCTTAAATGTTCTGGTCCCGCTAGCTGTTGACATGTCACTCCTGCTTCTTGTTGGTGACTTCCATGCACTGCTCTTCTCGTTGCTCATCTTCATCTGACTTGCCCACCCTCAAATCAGATTTAACATTATTGCTCAATACTATTATTACTAAACATCATTCAGCAAGTTACGAAGCTATCCTGACATTATTTGCTGCTGATGATACTAGAATTAGGGGCAACACACCTGCACGCACGCACACACACAATTGCTTTTAACTGCAAATTTGTATGATTGCTGTTACATGATGACACTGATTGATACAAGTGCTTTCAAGCATTGTGACTCATCTTTCTGCTGGGCCTAGACTGTCGGGGCATTGTAATCTTACTAACAAATTTCACTGGTATTAGAAATGATGGTCTAGTGTTTACTACTTATTCCCCTTAAAGGTTTACATATCATTAAATGGATTTGACAGATTCTGTACCATGCAGTATTGATCAAACTACTACTTAAGTGAAAAAGCCGAGAACATGATCGTAAATGTACCAAAGATTCTTGGATACATATTACTGCATCTACACATGCCTTAACGGTGTCAGAAAGTATGGTGGTTTATATAGAATGCCATAGCAGTCTGAATGCAGTAGATCCCACATTGTTCACCTCGTGCTAAGCAATGACTTTTGCGAATGGCTTCCAGATACACAGCCGTTGGTAGGCTACGCCATGAAGCGCGTATTGGTGATATCCTGCAATCAAGCAATACAACAATAAATTTTATAAATATGTGAGTAACTAACTATGCAAATTCATCGACACCTTGATTAGTCATTGCCTTTTATTTTTATGTTAGATTTATAGACAGATTGGATTTTTTAACATTAACACTTTATTTTCCCAGATACCCTGCTGTGATCTACTTTCTGGAATACCTTAGCATTTAACTCATTACCAAACTGTGTCAAAATAATTAAACACATTTTAAACCCACAGCTCTACCCATATAGCCAGACTAGGCTGCGAGACTAATATAAACACGTGACATCCATTGGAAAATTCTGTACCTTAAAAAATCTGCTGAACAACTATGTTAGCATCAAGAGTGAATAATAATAGATATATATTATCATTCACTCCTGTTAGTATGTATATCTCAAATAAAACAATTATCTTATAATTTTTCACTTGTGTTGTAGGTATTATGTTTAGCTTTTGTGCTATATTACCCTATTAGCATTCCAGCTTCGCTCTGAGTATGAAAATTGCAAAGTTCTGCCATTCGAGCAGAATTTGGAAAACTAAAAATGACACAAGTTAAATACAGTAGCGGTCCAAAAATCCGGATGCCGGAAATCCGGACCACCCGAGAACCCGGACTTTTCAAAAACGCTCACTTTTTAAATTTAGCAGGCTGTTGTTGGTTGTTTGTGTGTGTCCCAAACCGACCCAATCCCCGAGCATTCCAGATTTTCAGACTTCTACTGTAGACTATATAGTTGAAACTTGAAACACAATTTGAAATGCAAGGCACACGTGACACGGTATCGGTGGCACGATGTTTTTGCCCTGCCTTTAAAATGTCAGTCAGTTTTCGCTTTTAGTCGAACAGATCTCGCTGCAAATACCAAATACTGAATTTATCGAAATACCTCAAATGCCGAATACTATTACTAGTATTAGAATAGAAATACCTAATTTCCCGGTGGTTTTTAATTTTACCGAATTCATCTTGCAATATATTCTATATACTATAACTTAGTGAACAGTGCTCAGTTACTAAGGTATACAATATTTTACTAGTGTGAGACGTGGGTGTACCGTGTGATGCAGCGGACTTGAATCCGCTGCCAGTGACTTGCCCAATTCGCAGTGGCTAGAGGTACGGTAGCCGTCGGTCGTTGAAGCCCCTTTTTGGCGTTAGGGTTAAGGTTAGGGAATTAGGATTAGGGTTAGGTTTAGGGTTATGGTTAGGGTTAGGGTTAGGGTTCTAGCTCATCTAAACTCTCAAATCGTGAATTTATTTCCCAAGGCGTTATTTCGAAATCTTGCGCACCGCCGCAGTCTTTGTCTCGTTAAGTATGAAAGCGTGTAATGGACACCCGTACCCGTAGCCTCGAGGACATAAGGTGGCGTTTACACACAGTTTAAGCCTCTCCCTGCGACGTGCTTCACCTTACAATATTTCGATCTCTAGAAAATGCCTTTTGTCATATTTTTTTTTTCGCTGAAATTCAGCATATAGAGTGCAATTAATTGCATATGCACCAAGTTAGATTGCTCTGGTGACGTCCTATAAAGGTCATTATAAGTTAAAATAGGTCTGTTGTGTATTCGCCGACATTCCGTCAGGTGGGTAGTCACACGACCGGTTCGTTCTATATTTGTGTTCGCAAATGTAGTCAAGACACACTTTGTAGGATCTGGCAAAAGGTTCGAGCCGGCATATAGAGATGATTCTGTCATGAATAAAGTGTATGGTGTGTAAGCGAATACAGTGTGACTATTCTATATTCACCAAATATTCTGTTTCGATTGTATCTTCCAGTTCTCTGTCCTGCCTATGGAGCCCATCTACTGTTGTCACAATACGGCTACCTACCCGAGCCACTGCCACAACTTTAATTGAACTCTAATTTGGAATTTGCTTGGCATTCATTCTATACAATAATGTATCCAAACAAGGTTAGGTGTTATTTTAATGTGCTGAGTTTAACCAGACACATGTTTTTCTTGAGTGACTGCTACACCCCACCGCGCAGGAGTGTTGACCTCTCGCCACGTTAGTGTTTAAAGCGAGCATGGAACTTGTGGCTTAGTCGCTCTCTGTAGTTATCTCATAAGGAGTTGTCTAAACAACCGCGCACTCGGTTTCTCTATTAATCTCGTATCCTTGATAACTAATCAACGGTCTCTCTATAATTCCTGATGTAATTTTGTCACTATTTATTTATTATTATTTTTGGCTATTTCTATTTTATTTAAATTGAGGATAGGTTAGGTTAGGATTATTGTTAGGGGTGGTTTGGGTTAGGGATTAGGTTAGTTAGGTAGGGTTAGGTTAGGGTTAGGGCTGCGTATATAGCTCTAATCTTCAAGTTTAGGTGCACAGTGGAGTAACGGTATGAGGTTCCTTCGTGATAGTGAGGTACCGTTGTTCGAACCCCATTAAGTGTTTTTTTAATTTTCCTTCTGGCCGCGAGTTCTTTAAGTTTATTTGTTTCTGCATTTATTTGTTCCGTATTCATTTGTTGTTCTTGCTTAACTCTCTTGTCTTATTGTTCGGAATTAATACATTACTATTTGGCTCGTTATGGTTGATTTTATTTATAATGATCATGTTGTCCTGGCTTATGTTCCGCGGGAAAACCTGACCTAATCAGGGAGGGAAGAGAAGGCCGGTATTGTTTTTAGTTAAGTGTTCTAGGGCAGTTTCCAAAACCGGTTTCCGGGTTCTGGCTAGGGGTCCGTGACCTTAGACTCCACCCTTCGACCCGCTTTAACTGCATTTATTCATCTATCATAAGGTATTATGTGATTTATAAATTTAGTACGTGCATTATGGAATCACGACGACTCTATGATTCGCTGGCTCCTTACCTGACGGTGATCTATCCATTCAATTCATTACCCTGGATTGTTGATATTACCTCTTAAACCTAATTATATTCCATTTACCGTTATATTATTCTTTCTGACGACCTAGTCAAAA